CAGAGTTTTCCTCCTACATTCTGTGAGTCAGAGAGCCGAGAATCTGCTCCGGAAAATAATTTTCTATGCTCTACGATTTCATCTGACCTTCTTGAGAAACAGAGCATACTCAAATTTGGAATTTCTCACCCCCTGTGCTGAAACAACACAGTGTGGAAACAAGGGGTAAAGTTAAGGTCGTAACAAAAGTGTCCTCTCCAGGGCGCGCTTCACCCCCTCTCATTCAACGTCATATTTAAATTTATTGAGTTATTTTATTGACTAATAATGATAATATTCGGGTAATAATAGTTAGTTACAATGTACAGGTTTTGTGAAGATTTTTGCCTAATTCAGTTTACAAAAAAATAAAGACAGAAAAATTTTCGACTAGGGGTGCTAGACTACAACGTTGCTGGTTCACCTTCATTTCTAGAAATCAAGGAATTTTTACAATGAAAAAATACTTAGGGGGTGTTTTATTAATATTACCATCTGGTTAGAATTTGATCAATGGGTAATTTTGTTCTAACCTAACTTTACTAAAGTTGCAACATTAAAAACTAAAGGTCTACTCGTCAATATACCTTAAGGTCTGCTTTGCTAACTCAAAAAGTTTCTCTGTTTTGGGCCTTGTAGTCAGATTGGTGTGGTCAAGAAGTTGGATTGCCTCGACATTCACATATTGGTGGAACCGTTATTCATGGTTCCTAGCGTATCCGGTGAAAGTCTGGTCAACTGTGTTTATATGAAGATCTCGATAGAAGTTGCTGTTTCTAATGCACCAAGGATCATATATAATTATCCTCAGTATTTTCTAATGGAATCTCTGAATTTTTAGAAAATTACTGTTGCTGGCACAATCCCAGAGTAGAATGCCATAATTCCACACTGGTTTGAAGACTTGTTTATTCAAACTAATTGTTATATTATGTAGATAGGCCAGAATGCCTACTAAATAACCAGTACATTTTCTTGAATTTTATATCTAACTCTTGTCTTCTCCTCCAACGAAGTCTTGCATCTATGTAATACCTAGATATTTTGCTGAGTTGACATGGGGGTTATGATTGACAACCTGTGTTATTTTTAACAGGTCTGTTATTTTATAAACACACAGAAATTACAACCTGTTCACAATAACGTGTCTGTTAAAAATAACATTACTTGTCGATCATAACCCCGATAATAATTGGTTTTTATTGACCATTTGTGTTAGTAAAATTAATATATGAACAGAATTTGTATCGTATAATTAAATACATTTTTTGGTTCAGTTATTTATTTGATTTACTTATGTTGGTGTATATTTTATTTGCAGCCTCTTCAGGATCTCTGCCTACCGCTAGGATGTCATTATCATTCTGCAAATTGAGGAAATTTTGACGGATTAAATATAAAAAAGAGGGAGAGGGAAAAATTACTGGTTAGAGTCTGGACTTGCGCAGTCGAAGGGTCCGCGATTCGATTCCCACCGATGACCGGGATTTTGTTATTTAAAAAAAAAAATGTTGATGCATAGGTAGGATTCCCCGCTCCGACCATTCACTGTTGGGCGCTAATTAACAGTGCTGTTCATAAAGTGGTGCTAGTAAACAGTGACAAAGCCTGTATGTAGGTGTGCAGGAGTATTAGAGTACTAGCACTCCTGCAATATGGAGTATTAGACTACTAGTACACTTCATAACCTACACAGAATACGAGGCTAATGATCCAAGTGGTCGAAGACCAATAAAAAAATAAAAAAGACTGTTGTAACTGTTTTTAATCAAGCTAATTTTAAAAATTAGAAGGTAGATAATTTAATTTGAAGTATTTATTATTTTAGTATTTATAATAATAGTACAGTAAATAAAAAATATATCTAGTAATTTATCATAAAACATATAACTAAATTGAATAAATCATCCTGTAGACTTCCACCTTTGTTGCGGTCGCAGAAGGATCCATAACTTTCAAAAAGTATTAGGAACACTAGATTGCTAAATGCACTGCATTATCTCGGTTTTGGGATGGTTGCCAAAAATGCTACTATATATGGAAATGGAGCAGGGATTTCATAAAATCGCTTTGATACACTGTTGTGTTTACGTTTTAAATTGGAATATTTTAATCCAACGAAAAGCAGCCAAATTCAATAACTTTAATGGCGTAAACAATATTATGTTATATAATACGAGTTTTTAGCTAGAAAGTAATCAGCAAGGCAATACTAATCCTACAGTAACGTACCTGTCAATTCAATTTAAAAAGTATCCGCAATGTCTGTGATAAAAACAATCGTATATAAAACGACAAACGAATCAGTTGCCGATAAAAATCCGCAGGAAAATAGGCATTTAAAATCTGTTTTTGGCATAAATACGCCATTATCTTGTTACGCCGTTCCATCAGAGTCCTGCATGGAAATCTAATTTTACCAATTTATTAATCCGAAATCTATTTTACGCTTCCGTTTAGCTCGAATAAAAATTTCGATACCTTTTTTTTACGAAAACAGCAATTTTCATATACGAGGTTTGATCCGCTTGCTTCACCCCTGACCTCTTTACAATAGTCTGTCAAATTTAAATTTATAACAGTTTGACCCATGATACTAGGACGAACAGATAAGTTCACTTGGGGTACGAATTTTGAATCGAGCCGCACATGACTTCATCACGTCGAAATTACTGAAATATTTGTTATAACTGTTTTATATTATATTATTTAAATAGGTAAAATAAAAACAAATCATTGTATACAATATAATTCATTTATTTAATAGAAAAAACAAATGTATCAATATTCGGTTTTAATTTATTTACGTTGTAAGATATTTTTGTGTATTTAAAAAACACTTATAAACAAATAATTTATAATCACTGTTGTAATAAATCAATAGTTTTATTTGCACAGTACATAATAGCTCAATAAATTATAATTACATAAATATTTTTTGTAATTAATTTTGGAAAATAGATTTATGATTTATTTTTAAAACATATAGGTAAAGGGGAGTGAGTGAGTGAGTTTTTGGCATCAGGAAGCATGGTCCTCAGCCACAGAAATTGATACATAGGTAAAGGTTTTTCAAATTGTAGTTTTGATAGACCGTCAGATAGTGACCGATTTAGGTGCCTCATTTTCGCATACAAGCCTCGAAGAGGGTTAAAAAGTACATGTTGAGTAGAATTAAAGAAAATTTATGAGTGGCTCTTGGATATAAAACATGGAAAATTCAATTTTCCTTATCAGAAAAATTTTTCGACCGCAAAATGCACTTATACATTCGGGTTATTCAAGAAAATATGTTTTTTGGACTAATGACGACGTACATTTTTATAGATTCGATGGGCTTGTGTGGAAAAATCAGGCAAAATCTCGATTTTTTCTTAGAAGATTTTGTCCTCTTTTGCACTCTTTAGCCACTTGTAACATTAAAGCCTTTGTTTTTCCGAAGCCTAGTTCTATTAATTAATCATATAGTGAAAACGGCTTGCGTGGAAATATGGGCAACAAATAACCTTTCATTTTTGTTAGGGAAAATCAAATTTTCCATGTGTTATCGCCAGCAGCTACTCGTAAATTTCCTTTCATTCTACTTAAAATCGATGAACTTTTCAACCCTCTTCGAGGCTTGTATGCAAAAATGGGGCACCTAAACCTGTCACTACCGTGCCGGTTTAAGGTACTTTTGCGATCGGTGCTACTTGTAATCGCCGCCATATCTATTAATAATTTATACATTTTAGATTACTGAATTTATATATTATTTAAAAAAAAATTACAAAATACAAAAGTATTATATTTATAACGTCACAACATCAATAAACCATAATTATTATAATGGTCAGAAACAGCTATAAAACTAGTACGCAAACACAAATAATAAAATAAAACAAACAAAAATTATAAAATAAAACAAACAAAAATAATAAAATAAAACAAACAAAAATGACAAAAATAAGATCAAAGAAAACTGGAATAAAAACAAATTACCAGTCTAAAACATAAGTTGCCATTCTTGTTTTCTACAATATTATTTTAATAAGTACTATCACTAATACATTAAGGAACTGTTGAAATTAAGTAAAAATAAACTGTAAAAATAATAAACAAATAACGAAAAATAATATTGCTAATGACCATATTCTAAAATATTGACATGTTATGTTTAATACAAAATACAATCATTCAATTGACACGTTTTACGCTGCGCACTTTATTAGCTACCACGCAGATAGAAAAGTTGGGCCACTCGTCGAAATGAACCTACTCACGAAGATTCATAAAAATGGGTGGTGTACTGTGGATTAACATGTTAGAATGTAAGTATAAAAATGCAGCAGGGGAGTTTTATTTACTTTTACTAAAGTTGCTTCCTCCCTTTTAAATTTGAAAAAGTTTGAATTATTTCTTTAGTATCTGATGTTTTCAAAACATCTGAATTTATTAATAATACTGCTAAAGACTTCAACTTTTCTTGTGCAATTGAATTGCGAAGATTAGTTTTCACCCGTTTTAGAGTAGAAAATGTACGCTCCCCACTGGCATTCGTTACCATTCTGAAAAAAAAATTCGGGGGCATGCATTTAAATTTGGAAAAGAAGACGTAAGTTTATTTTAATGTAACAATTTTACTAAATCTTAGGGAGATTCAACTTTAATTTCATCGTTTAGTTCATTTAGAATTTTTTTGAAATGAATGCATTCTTGAGGAAAATGCTCGTCTAGGTCTTCCGTATATGTCTGCATTTAATACTATTATAGCTTCGTCACTTATTTTTTTTTAATTAAACAAAAATTCAAAAAGAGCTGAACATGTTTTGTACACTTCTATGAATAATTTCTATTTGAAGATTGTCAAGGATTGGAAGGTAAATCTACGATCTCATTTTCTCTCTAGGATCCAAAATAACTTCTGTATTTGGTTCCCGAAAAAGCCTCTTTCTTTTAGTGCTTCGCCGTTCTGTGTATTTTTTGTTGCCAGTTAAAGCTATTCCTTTGGCTTCATATTGATCAAACTCGTTTCTTAAATATTAAAAGTATTGGGCCAATGAAGATAAAAGGTTAGATGTGGTACTTATATTCATATTATCTTGTTGTAAAGACTTATTTACATCATTAGTTCGGTGTAACATATCCAACCAAATTGTTAAAAGAATGCCATTTTCAAGAAGATCTAATTTTTCGGCAAAAGAAGCCGCTTCAACTCTCACAACACTTTTGTCTTCTCTATTTTGAGATATTTGCTCTAAACATCTTTTTATTGATGCGTAACTGTGTCCTAGGGCTTTAATGGCATCAGATTGTGATGACCATCGCGTAGTGTTAACTCTGTTAGGTAAAAGTTTTTCGTTTTCTGAAACTTTTATAAACTGAGATAACAAGTTCCATTTGTATGAAGATGCCGTAAAAAAGGTGTGAATTTCTTGTACCATCATAAAGAACGCCGTAGATTCCAAACAGCAGTCTGATGCATTTTGCACAACTAAATTTAGCGAATGTGCTAAATTGTTTCGTGCCTTAATACGAGCCTGTAACTCGAGAGTATTTTCCGCTCATGTTGCTCGCATTATCGTATGGCTGGCCCCTAAAGTCTTTTAAAGGTATCTTCGAGTTCTTTCGCAACATGTCTAACGTTTTCTTGAAACCCCACAAACCGCTTAACTAGTAATCCACTACTATCACAAAATCGCAATATAATTGTAAGTTGGCGTAGAATTCACGCTTACTGAATAATACTTATTAACTTTAATTTGTTTCACTATTTCCTTTAAAACTTCATTTGATAAAATCCCTATAAGCTCTTCGCAAATATCTTTTGATAAATAAGAAACAGTACCCTTTCCACGATTTGCAAGTTTTCTTATATGATCTTTTAAAAAAGGATCATATTCAGACAGAAGTTCAATCGCACCCAAATAATTGCCGTTATGATCTTCGCCTATCTTTTCATTACTACCTCTAAATGCTAACTCTCGTGTTGCTAAAAATTTTATAACCCTAACAATTCTTTTTAATACGTTAATCCAATACTTCTTTGCTATGTTACATTCTTCATGTTCATCAAACCTTTCTTTATGCCTATTCCAGGATGAAAAACCTCTTTTAAACTAGTTGACTGACCCACCAAATAACATACAATAAAAGCAGTACACATTACCTGTGTACTCAATATGGCCGATTCGCCAGAACCGGACTAATGGGAATGCAACCCATTTTTTTTTTTAGAAACTGTAAGTTATATTTATTAATTGTTATAAAACGGATGATTAAGGTTACATTAACTGATTTTCAGTAATTCCGCTTATTAACAAAACAATTTTCAAGGAATAAAAATGTTTATGTTGAAGATTTTATGTTACCTTCTACCTCTATGAGTTCATTTCATTGTATGTTATATTAATGTTTTTATAGATTATCTGCATCTAACATTTCATTTTTATGATTTAATTCTATGTTGTCAAATCATCGGATTGAAAAAAAAACTCTTGGCTAAAGAAATTACAAGTGTCCTTTTTATTTGTCTCGAAAGTGTCGTAAATAAACATAAAATAAACAAAAAATAGTTCCCAACCAGTTCTCGTGCATATTTATCGATTATGAACAACAGCTAAACAGCAATCGTTTTCGTTTTTGCTTCTGGTGGGACGGGTTAATAGAATATGGTAATTCGATCTGGGACCTTTTTCGGTTTTGTTTTCTGTTTTTCCGCTTTTGACGTAGACTCTGCACGAAGCGAAGTTGATAAAACTAAAACTAAAAAGTGTGTCACAACAAACCCTATCATCGTTGTCCATAGGGATCAGGATGTAATTTAAGTGAATCGAGAGTTGTTGCTTTCGACGTGGGAATTTTACACCACATTGGAGGAATACATTATGAATGTATTAAAAAATCGAGGAATTTATTTATTTTGAAAAGTACTTAGGGTTTTGGGCGTTTTGATAGGCGAGTTTAAAACAGGGTTGAACGTATTTAAAAAGTATTCACCTTCAACAGGAATAAAAGCGTATCTTTTTTATATTCTATTTGACCACTATTGAACCTAGCCAATGGAAATCCGTTCGATAACTTCGAACAGACGAGTTTAGACGGAAACAACATAGGAATGGGTTCGACAATCAAAATCAAGTAGAAGAGTGTAGAAATAGAGAGTATTTTCACTGATATTTACAAATATTTTTTATCATGTTTAAATCAATGACAAAGTAACATTTACATTAAAGCCTACTTTAGAAACAGTTTTTGTGGATCACTCCGTGTATTGTTCTTTTCTGTCGCTGTACACAGGAAAATTGAATGTAACCTCTACACAAACTACACAAACGTTAAAGTAGGCAATTTCGTACACATTACAGTATGACAAAATTGAGGTAGCAAGTCAGAATTAGATGCGCGCTGGAAAATGTAAAAATGGAAAGAGTTTTCTCAGTTAATGGCTGAACTTCGATGGTATTCTTTCAATGATCTATTTGTGTTCACTTGTGTTAACTGAGATAACTCCTCCCATTTTTAGATTTGCCAGTGCGTATCTAATTCTGACTTGTCATCTCAATCTTGTACTGTAGATAAGATATCCTTAATAGTCTGAGCTAGTGAACACTTTTCTTTCAATATTTGAAGTAGTTTAAAAATTTGCAAAAATTTACCATAGGGGGTATTGAAGTCGTACAATAGTAGTCGAAATTGTTATTATTGCAAGTTGGTTTAAGCGTCGTATAATAATAATAATAATAATAATCATAAAAATTGTCAAACATATACAGGGTGATTCAAAATGAAGTGCAAAGATTTTAAGGGTGTATTAACCAGACAAAAATAAGAATTTTTTTTCATATAATTGTATGCCCTAACTTGCTTCGTTTTCTAGATACAGGGTATCAAAAAAAATCTGTTTTTTAACAAAATCATACTTTGAGACGCCACTGGAATAAATAATGAATGAAATTTCATAACACAAATAAAAATCAAGACAGACCTGTTTGGCGACAATCTCCATCATTTAGTTTAATTTTTTACTTGTTTTAATAGAACCAGGCACAGATTTTGATTTTTTTTTCTTGGGAACAAAGCTAGATACGAGTAAAGCTCAGAAGACAGGAAAGATACATTATTGGCAGCTTAATCTAAAAAAAAAAATTAATTGTAAAAAAAGCAGCGCTCAACCATAATTTTACCTATAACTATCAAGTAGGTAGCCCCCTGAGACGCCACTGGAATTAATAAATTTATTTTATACTCACCAAAGGAAGGCCCTTATGACGACAAATAATCCTACCAAATTTTATTTAAATCGGCTGAAAGGTTTTTGAGTAATTGATAAAAAACCGATGTTTTTAAAAAACTTTGACACCTTTCTATTTTTTTACAATGAAAACAACTGAAGACAGCTCTTATGTTTCGAATTCAACAAAGAATTTAAAAATAAATTTTTATTTAAAAAAAAACATTGGCTTAACATTTTTTTCTTCAAAAATATCGTAGTCAGTGACAGGTACGCACGCCACTGTTAGAGCTGAGAATTATTTTTTTATTGAAAAATATATACTTTTATTTACTGTCACTGTATACTAAAAAAATATTACTCACATATCTTAAGCGGTTTCGAAAATAATAAATAATTTCCTTTTTTTGGTTTTCCTAAAACTTTAGCATCTTGTATTTTCGTAACGGAACATATTTTAACCCTAATTGATAAAGCAAACTATCATTAATTTTTTATGTAGATTTACTCTCTTAAATATTCGCATATCAGGAAGACTTTGTATAATTTAACCTAATTCATCAGTTATGACTTCACAATTGGGACACTTATTTGTATCTACATAAATTTGAGATAAGAAAAGTTATCATTTAATAACGCCTCAAAACGTTTTTCATTTCCGATGATCTCTTATCCAACAAAACAAAGAGTTTAGTTTCGTTGTGTTCAAATCGTTTACAATAGATCTTGCTTTTGAAATCTTTTCGAGCAAGTTACCATCAACGATTCAAGGATACACTCTCCAAGATCTCCATTACGCCGCTCTACGATCCATTATTGTTCGGGCAAACAGCCCATCGAATTTGTTCGGATGAATCTACCGGCAAAAAAGGCCTCGAGATTTAGAGCAAATGTTTGTCGAAAGACAAAGGTGTTATTTTCCCTATACATTCCCGGGAATGTTTAACCGTAAGTGGATCATGGAGAGAAGGGAGAAGGCGGGAGAACTAATATAATTCGGAGATCGGAGATTGAGGAAACTTCCCATTTAACAAATTCCATTTAGATAAAGGTCGACCAGATTCTTATTTGGGAGACTGGGCACATTTTTGTGACATCCGATAAACCTATTGATCGGACTTGTGTAATACCCCAGATGTGAAACCCGGAAAAAGCTACAAGGAATAATAATTCTATGACCTTGAAACTTTAAATGGGTATGGCATGGGTGTTGCCAATTTTAATTTTTTTCAATAATTTTTCCAAGGTTGATGTAAGCAGTAAAAATGGTAGTGCAGTAAGGAGGTGCACTGGGTGTCAAAATTAAACACGGTGGGACGTATTAAAAAAAAAAATGGGGTTTAAAATAAAAGGCACGCAATTTGTATTTCTATTTTTTATCAAATTTTATAACAAATACCTTCGTGGTAATATAAAACAAAGGAAACGAGAATATCTCAAAGTCCGTATTACAACAAAGTCGAGCGACCATTTATCTCCCTAAAACAACTACTCCTATAAAAAAAAATAGCAGAGATAGAATAGCTATTTGTGCATTGAGAGCGGAAAAGGCCATTTCGGCGCTTGAGATAAAAAGTAGTGCGTGACGCACCAGCGGAGGAAAGCAATTTATCGTAAGCGGCAAATAGCTTTCCGCTCGAATTACACACACGATTTTTTCTATGATCACCTGGTACTACCAATTTCAAATTTTACTTCAATGTTTATTTGACAGTTACCGCTAGCCAAACGTATGTTATGGGTATATTCTGTGTATGTTGTGTTGCATATTAAAAGTAGAACCAGAAATAAATAAGTAATAGGCAACGACCCTCATTATTATCTATTGTTCGAGATATAGATAAGCAATAAAATTGTGGGACCCTTAAAAGATTTCCAGGTTCAGATTAAAGTATCTTATGAAATAGTTTTCAATACTATAGCTTAGATTTTGCTTCCTTATTAAAACTAATCAGCAGGAATTAAACGATCTCGACTTTAGTCTCTAATGAAGTCTGCTTGATGTATTATCTTCGCTCATATACATTAAAGGTGGCTGAGAAAGTGTGATAATCAACGCCATCTGCACTTAGGAAACAAAAGGTCGCTCGACTTTGCTGTGACACGAACTTTAAGATTTTCTCATTTTTTGTTTTTCAATTTTAAATTACCCACATTTGAGAATTGGAATGTATTTCCTCTGAATTATAATGGTTAAAAACTGTTGAAGTTTTTTTCAAGCGTACCTAATATTTTTCGTCGACTTATCATATACATGTAACGTTCATTTTTGGCCCCACGAATTAATAACATTGTTTTGGCTTACCT